AAGATTTATTTCATCAATGTCACATTGTCCTTGTGTTTTTCTCTTTTTTTTAATTGCATATATGTATGTACTAAACATGAGTTAAACCAATTCTTATAGAATAATTGGTTTTACTTTACTTTACTTCTTTAAAAAATTCTCTTTCAATTTCTTTTTGTGTTTTTTTTGACACATCGACTCATCCAGAATATCTATGCATAAATATGGTATGAGATTTTGCCTTACTCACAGAAATATATATATATATATATTCTATATAAAAAGAATTATGTGACTCAGAATTTTATCTCCTTTCTTTATCGAGTCCGACAGATACGAAACGCTAAATAATTAATTTCAATTATTTCTGTGAGACTAGTCATAGTAGTGTGGAAAACAGAAAGCCGTTATTTGGCCTAGTGAATATATATATATATATATATATATATACATATATACGTAAAAAATGGTGATTGTAATACCGCAAATTGGCCGAAGTTATATTATATAGATATACATATATACAAACGTAAAGTCAGTTCTTCTATACGGGTCAGAAACTTGGCGGGTCACAAAGAATATTTCCAAAAGGCTGCAGACCTTTATCAACAACTGTCTTCGCTCAATACTGAAGATCAGATGGCCGGAAAGAATCACCAACAAGGAATTATGGGAACAAACAAAGCAAGAACCAATCGCCCAACAAATATGCAGGAGAAAGTGGAGATGGATCGGACCTCGCTGAGGAGACCGCCGGGTGACATCGCGCGCCAAGCCCTCGAGTGGAACCCGAAAGGGAAGCGGCGTGTGGGACCTCCAAGGGTGACATGGAGGAGATCGTGTGAAGAGGAGTTGAAAGAATATGCATTAACATGGATGCAGGCGAAAAGTATAGCAGAAGACAGAAGAAAATGGAGACGTGCAGTTGAAGCCCTATGTTTCACTAGGAACCCAAAGGAGCAATAATAATAATAATATTATATAGACTGTAGGATACCATCTCAGTAGATGCATGAACAATAGGCTCATCTTGCTAGATAGAAACACTAAATTCTGTCTCTGCTATGATCATGGGAGTAGATTGAACTGAAGAGTTCTGAAATAGGACGAAGGACTTTTTCACTTTTTTCCTAATTTTCAATGATTCTAAAACCTAAGTCAGTTAGTTATTGAATTTAAAATGACGACTTTACTTTGCTATTTATTTTGGGTAATGCAATCTGACAAACATAACTGAGATACATTGACTGTAATGAAAAATGGCTTGTAACTATATTGAAGAGGGAATTGAATTCCTACATAGTCACTGTTTAGAAATATTTGAGTATTCTTCACTGACTGGTTCCATATCAAATCTCCAAATCGATTTTAACGCTGATATATATTTGATTTTCTATAGTTGGTTTGTAAGGATTAGTTTTGTTTTTACAAGTTGATCACAGACTGGTATTGGTTAGAGAACCATTGAAAACCCAGGGGGTACCGAATACCTTTTTCATTCTAGTTTGAGATTCTTCCACAACAGTGCGCACTCACCACCAGGGTTCGAACCCAGGACCTTCTGGTTACAAGGCAAGTTCGTATACTACTCAACCACTGGGACCCGACTCCTCAATGGTTCATGAATTCTAACTTCTACCAATTCGTGATTCAGCGCTACTCCAACCAATGTCGTCGGTGGAACGACCATCCTCACACGTAACATCTGGGTGGACCTCACTTGTCACGACTTCTCATTAGAACTACAGGAAACTTCAACCTGTAGCAAGTCACTAGCGGGGATCAGATTAAGTTTCTATGGTTGGTTTATAAGGATTAGTTTTGTTTTTAGCAGTCGATAGCGGATTGATATCATTTAGAGAAGTATTGAAAACCGGCAAAGAGTGCTGGGCAGCTGTTTCGTCCTAGTTTGAGAGTCATCGGCAGTAGGCACCCATTGGGGTTCGAACCCAGGATCTGCAAATGATTCCCAAACCAGGATGAATCAGCAGTGCAGTACTACTGGTTTACAGTGGTTCTCTAACTGATATCAACTCGTAAAAATCATTGATTTTGATGAATTATTTTGTTATAGACGATTTAAACTACTTGACAGTCCTACCTATGAAAGTCGTATTCAATACAGGTTTGTGGTGACCCTTTTTTTCCACATTGGCAACCAAATTCATAAGTAGTAGAAAGATTTTACGCAACAAGTATGAGTTCGAGAATTCTACAATCACTGTAAAACTATAAGCGGCAAAATATGTTATCTCAAGTGCCATTTTCTAGTTAATGTCTCATCACTTGATACAAAGATGAGTAAATAAGACGGATTTATAGTGGTTTTATTGATTTCAAGGTAGATCTCTTCACAACCTGACGACGATTGCGGAAACAGCAGGGACCACGAAACACTGAACATCTGTTTTACTTCCATTTGCCACCCATCTGTGTTTCACCAACCCTTCAATGGCATAGTGATTATTAGATGATAATCTTTGACTTTTCTCTCTCAAAACCAGTAACTAAGACTCAAGAAAAATAAGATGAGTACTTCTTTGTCTCCAGTAGTATCTGTGTGTGTGTGTTTCTAAATTTGCCTTGAAAATAAAGTCTCAAAGAAAGGGAAATCGAATATATTTCCCTCATAAGTCCAATATTATGATACTCTCATTGTCCACATTTTACTTCCTATCACCCTGGAATGTGTAGTTGAGTAGCCATATGATTTCAGGTAGGTGAAAATCAACAAAGTTGTCAAATATAAGCCAATAAGTAATGAATAAACAAGGAAGATGAACAAAGTGAAAACAACTATAAATTCTTAATGGGGTAAGGGTAGAAGCTGTGGAGAGGTGTTTTCGCGCATACTGTGATAAACATCACAACAGATATTCAAGCTGTATAGAAAATTTATGAAAACACCTATGAATCGGCTAACAAAACATTTAATACGATTACAGCATTCTTCTAGGCATCTAATACAAATACGAGCTAGCCTTGTAATCAGAAAGTCCTGGGTTCGAACCCCGGTGGGTGCGTACTGCTGAAGAGTCTCAAACTAGGACGGAACAGCTGTCCACCACTCCCAGGTTTTCCAGTGGTTCTCTAACTAATATCAGCTCATAATGAAATCCTGTAACCGATCAAATCCCTACAAACCATCACTTGAATACAAAATCAAATACCTGAAGAAACTCAAGTCGTAATTGACTCACACATGTATGTAATGTGTGGTGTTGTGAAGATTTATCAGTAGTACATAGGCACGGATTCATAAGAAGAAGCCATAGTAGAGAAAAAACCATTCTAAGTCAATGACTGCAGAAGTAGAAGGGTAAAGTCGTCAAATTTCAATTTACTTTACGTTGTGGTCGGGAAATAATATTATTGGTAACCTGTTTTCTCAAGTTTTAACCTCTGAAAAACGTGTAACCAATCAGAACAGTTTACTATCCGCTGACTTAGCCAACCATAAGTGTGGTTAAAAATGTAGAAATGTGGTATGTTTTTTTTTTGATAAAAAAGTCCATCACCAATGCTCTTGTCTTCTCCCGTTACATGCATACTGAGACAAAAGAGTGGCAAGTTTGATTTGAGATAACTTTTATCCTCGCTTTTACAGCCAGATAATAAAATGGAGCGTTAACAATATAGACACTAATCTAAGCACCATTCAATAAACATTTTTTTATCCCTTCACGTTTCCAGTGGAACATAGGGCTTCGAGCTAGTGGCTTGAAGTTTCTGTAGCAGTGTTTATTTTTTTACAGGCTGGGGTTGCTAACCTCATGCCTAACTTTTCCTCTTTACCAGCTTTAATTATGGCTTGGCGAGGTGAAGGAGTGCGTTGGCGGCCGGGGATCGAACCCCGGATCATGTGCATGGTCGGTAAGCGTCCTAGCTGCTGTGCCATCAATGCACCTTCAATAAATATAGTACTCCTAAATTAGCAGTATTCATAAGATTGAGCCCATTCAAAATCTAAGACTAAAAACACTGACCACAATAAATGCAGAAAAAGTCTTCGTGAATAGGTAAAAGAAGAGCCAAACGGAATCACTCTATCGATTCCCTGACTATGTGAAAAGTCATTTCTCAAAGTAAACTTGCTCACTAAAATGTACAGCTGATGATAATTAGTCATATCCTTAAATTTACATAGTCTAGGTGAATTATTTCTAGAATTTTTTGCATTTTTGTTTTGTTACTGTGGTATCTATTTTCAATAAAATTTGAAAAGTGCCACAGAAAATAACAACTAAAATGTCATTAACATGAGTATATCATCAAAGGAGACCGACATGTAGAAGAGTTATTTTATATTTTTCAAAAATCATTATCACAACTGGACAATCATTAAAATAATTAATTAACTGGAATAATTGAATGACTCATACATAGAGTTTGCATGTGCTCAAATAAAGTTTAAACATGAAAACACCTCATTAAAATAGAGACAAAAATCTAATTATACTAGTAACAACACATCAAACAGAACACTTCCGACAATTTCGCTTGTTTGTTTGTTTGCTTGCTGGTTTGTGAAGAACTCATAATTACAACAGCAGTCCCACCTATCTTTCTTATTTACTCAATATGACTTTCACCAATATAATACCACGTCACTGAGATGTAAACTGTAGTCACCATCTATAGATTTTGTTTAAGATCGTGAAATACATTCACTTGGCTATTATTAACCAATAGCCATGTTTCTACCATTTCATACAAATTCTTATGTTTATTATAAAAGTACTTTGCTTAGTGTATTTTTGTCTGTACTTATTCAACATTAAATGGCGCCAAAATATACATGCAAGCATTACTATCATCACTATAATCAAATATAATACACCCAAACATTTATATTCAACCTTTTTATCGTATATAAATACAGTTACTTAATAAATCATATCGGTTGTACGTACGATGAATAGAACAAGAGATCAGAAAGCTGTAAATATATATATATATACATATATATAAAACAGCAGGGAAATGCAAAATCACACATGGTAGACACACATTTGACTTACCTTTTAGTTAAACTAGTCGTAGAAGTTTTTGCTCTACGACATCGGCTTAACAGAACCATTGTAATAACAATCATAATAACTAATGCACCGCCAAGTACACCTCCTAGGATAATCCAGTGGATATTTTCAGTTTCAATTAATTTATTATTATTATTATTACTAGTATCAGTGTTAGACTGTAATTTTAATAGGCTGTTTAATTCCTCTTCATTTGGAAATGGTATAAGTCTGTCTAGTGGTTCATCAATATCGTGTAGATTATAATAATTTTTAGAGAATTTGATTATGCCTCCACCAGTTCCATCAGCTGTATAAGGATAAAAATATATAAAACGGATAAGATTAGATAATTTAAAAAAAGTTAAATGTTGAATAGTATAATTAGTCTACATTGAATATTTATCATGTTTTAGATACGAAATGTGTTAAATATTTATACTTTATTTATAATATACTTTTTCATCGATAGAGATAAATGAGTATATTATTAATGTAGTTCTGAGTGAAAAGAGAAATATGTGAATGAAGAAAATCCCGAGCGTCCGTTTCACCCGCTAATCAAACATTTCGATGCCTTTTAACAGTTGAAAGTTAAGTTTCATGATTCCATCATAATACATGATTCATCTGAATATATTTATATATATATATATATATTTGTCAGCTTGGAATATATGTTGTGTAGTTAACTGCTTTTGTAGCGAGGTCACGAAACTGATATTCTTTGGAATTAAGCAAACGGAGAGAGTGTAGTAATCTAGAAGAGATACGCACCTATCCTGTATTTTTCCTCTTTTTTTGTTCTAAGAGGAACACAGCAATTCAGGTTTTAAGCTTTTATCGTGGGGTGGGATTGCTAGCTTCACGATCAACTTTCCTTCTCTATTTAGCGTACTACTCGCTAAGCTAGGTTCAAGCATGAACGTACAGGAATCAAGTCTCTACCATTTGTGTGGTTGACATAAATTCTATCATTTAGCCATTGACGCACAACCATCGTGTACACTATAATAATATCCCCTATTAAATACGTTGGGAAACGATAGTGTCGCATGGTTCACTACTAGGAAAACTATTAACGGATGACACTATTATATGATGCTAGCTTTAGTTCGAATCCATTGTTGTTCACTTCCTAAGTATTTTCTTATAGATAGCTAAAATAGACTAAAGGTAATGTAAATTAACTTTGTACAGAATCCTTTGATTCTATAATGGATATTGTTCTCAAGATGACAGCATCAAAATACCCGTAAAAATTGAATATTAAATGATAAAAGATTTGGATAATCACAGTACTAAAAGATGAGTATTTTAGACAGCTGCTCATATCTTCTAGACGCCGAAATATTGGTTCAGAAAAATACTAACTCAGTACCAGTGAGTTTATATTCAATTTCAAGAAGTTTATGTCATAAAATAGTCTTCATGGTGTGGTTTTCAAATGCACTACAAATTAAGAGCCAATTTTAGTGTGATACCTGAGTTATTAATTTTGTCTGTAAATCTCATTTTATACTTCAGAAGTTCCACACTCGTTCATGCAGATGAAATATAATAGCTTTAACACATGAAATCCCTGATGTTCCTGAAGAAACTACTTTTCTTGTACATTAAGAAAAGTCGTGACGAAAATTCGATACACATACTGTTTTTGTGGTTAACTGATTTATTTCAAGCTGGGCTTCATCTTCAACAATAGTCCTTAGAGAATAATTGAACATCAAGAAGCAATGAACAGCCGCTTTCACGTTGTTTAGAACTTAACGATAATACCGACATACATCTATACTGAAAGTTGACTACAGGTATTGTCATGTTAATTGGGGAACAAAATAACATGCAGAATTTAATAGCATAAGAATTCCCGTCGCTTAAACATAGTGCAGTCGATCCTCACAGAGTGAAATGAAACAAATGCATCTAGTATCTGACTACAGTTTCCCAGGGCAACACTACTTTATTTAACATTATTTCGAGTAATATACTGATACTAACAGACTATTTCTTAAAAGAAGTCCTTAAACCATAATATTTATGTAAAGGCTTGGATTCCTATTCATTAGATAGACAGTGGTATATATGTGGTGAGGGCTGGCTGTTAGTCGAAATTGGTGGACAGCAATTTACGTCAATGTTTATGTCCCCAATATTGGTCGTGAGAAAAATGAGAACAAAAGCTTTGCGTAGGCAGATACAATTAACATGTAGATGATCTGACATTCAAGAAACAGCCACAAAGAGATGCAAGGTTAACTTTCCGTAAGAAACAGCCAGTCAGAAGACTGTGTTTTTCTGCTAACAAAAATCTATAATATGTAATGAAAACCTATAAATATGTGTTGATTTCTTTAATAAACGACCTGTTGCCTGGCTTAGGTTTGGGAAGATTAAATTACGATTTAAGCCAAGGAAACGTTAACCTAATGAAGGCAGCATTAGGGTTAGTTCAAGTTGGTGTGCTATTGCTAGGGTTAGAAGACCTAAATAAATACATGCAAAGAGGGTGTTTAAATTTCTCTGTTATGCACTGTGGTACAGTATAATTCTATTGCGGGTAAAATTTATTCTGATAAAGTCTAACACTGCTATAAAGTAATATTTATTGATGACGTTTATTGCCTAGTAAATATTACTGCATAACACTGTGAGACTTTATCAAAATCAATTTCACCCACAACAGAATTATAATCTGTTGATACTCCAACTTAAAGTTGAGAGCTATTTTTATCAAATGTGAGAGAAAGGTATCCTCTGTAACACTTTTTTTAAGTTTTTATGCATTTCTTTCACAAATATGTGTATTCCATACACAAAAATGCTTCATTCACGTGATTGGTGCATTCCAGGCCATTCGCTGATTGGTAGTTAGTGGTGCTTTGTCACTTTGCCATGTCATCACAGACTGTCATCATCAACAACCCTTCGTGCTTCCCATAGTTTCGTTTGCCTTTTTTGTGAATTCAGTTCATTGAACAGCAGTAACTAATAAATAACCGGTGAGAATTCAATCCATTTACGATATAAAATGGTCATTGAATTCTAAATTCGTCGACCAACACCTATCTTTAGTTCTGACGTAACTTTCTAAACCAGGGGTTTTTAAAATGGAACCCGGGAATACCAGTATACCTGAGTATGTAGAAGAGCATATATTAACAATTACTAGTATTTTGTTTGTTTGTACGACTTGTTTGCCATCTCAAGGGGAGGCAAATGCATAAACAATGATAAGTGCACATGTGTTTTGTTGACATGATAATAACATTTGGAAAGATCCCCTGAAGATATGGTTTGCTTATTTTTGTTAAGCATCAACACTTATTTATGCGTATGTTACCTGCAGTATGTGACAAAAACACTGCCAAAAATAACATAAATAAAGATATTTAATCAGTAATTTAAGCCATTTCATCAACTGTTATTTCTGGGAATAATGTTTGTTATTATCTTAAGGAACCCATTACTCTTTCACAGTTTATTAATGATGAATACATGAATTAGCCTAGTGGTTTATTCCACTGAGTCATTTCAAAGTCACTAGGTATGATATTAAAGATATCATAATCAAAAGCAATGTACCGAATGTTACAAATTATTTCTAAATAAGCAGACAGCTGATTATCCGGATTCTCTCCTTCCCTTCCGACTCTATCACAAAACGACATCATTTGGAGACAGCAGTGGAAAACACTAGATAGCTGTTTCATCCTTGCTCAAGACTCTTGAGTAGTGTTCCTTCATTGACTAAACAATATCAAACTGGCGCGTTAACCAATAAGTCACTAGGTTGGAATCCAGTGACTTTGGAACTTTAAACGCTATCAGTCTGTGATATTGGGTACCCTCAAACCAGTATGCTTGACTGTTAAACTATGTGATTCCTGAATAACATGTTTGGTGAAGCTGCAGCGGCGCATCACTAAGCAGTCTACAAAGATAACGTAACAGCTCTCTAATGATCCTCAGTTTTTAATGTAATCTTTTTATTGGAAATGATCAGGTCATGTGAAATTGCTAGATTTGCGTTGGTTTTATCACTGAACTACTTCAAATTATTTGCACTGAACACTGACAACATAAATTATTAAATTTTACGCGAAATTTTAATTCACTTAAAAGTTGTTACAATTATTTAATGAGCTTGTGGAAGATAAACAACACATGAAGTGAAAACCAGTTCAATTCATCCCACTATATTTGTTGGTCTTACTTTCTAAAAATCTATAAAGGGGAGCCGATTACACGAAATTCTGTACCAGTTATCAGTTTAAACCAACCCAAAGAATAGACACCATGGAGTGCGAAAGCCTCAATAATATTAAACGTCTAATGTCCTTTAGATTACAGCGTCATTATGTACACTATGAACGAAACGAGGTGCAAATATCATCCAGATCATGTTTCTAAGTATTGTTTGAACAGTGGATTAACACGACGTAGTTGCAAATGCTCTTGTGGAGGTTGTACGTATATCTATCGCCTTACAAACACAATTGATGGAGATTTATTCAGATCTACAAGCTGTGTTCGAAATTTTAAATCACATACTTTGTTCAATAATTTTCAAGGTCTTCCTTTTGAAACTGAAGTTCTGGCCAATTAAAATAATTTTTATCTGACATTATTAGCTTGTGAAGACTGAAGCGACATCCACGTCTTGTTAAACCGCAGATTAGTCGGTTTCTACTAGCCAGTGTTATCAGCATCGTAGTTATACAGCATCATGGGAGATCAGTACCACAGCTTTTGGAAGGAGAGGAGGTTATTGTTCTTATAGATGAAACTGTTTTGATAAGGGAGAATGATAACTGTAGTTGCCCTAGTGCGAATAATGTGTGGGTACTAAGACTATACGACACTAACATTGGTAAAGGATACGTGCCATTAATTCCAAATAGTGGAGCGGAAACGGTCTTATCTATTTTACAACGGTTAGAAATTCCAGGTAGTATAATTCATGCAGACAAATGATCAGGATACACTTGGTTATCAAAGTTAAGATTCATCCTTCCTCACATCAATTATTCAGATGACTTTGCAGACCCTATCACTTGAATGTAAACTAATTATATCGACGACTTCTGGGGAAGACTCAAGAACAGGAATAGGGCGGTAAATAACTCACGTAAAATGTCGTTTTCACTTACCTCAATGAGTGCATGTATAGAAACTGGCTTAACGTTAACTCTGACTCCCTTCATCACAACTAGGATCCATTTTTTTTTATTTATGTCAGGGTAAAATATCCTCATTAATGTATTTTATTATTTCTGTTTGTATTCTTTTTCTAAATAAACGGCTTTT